AGGACTAGTTGGCTGTTGGTTCTGCCAGCAGGTCAATTATCAACAACTCATTGTGCGCCGCCTCTCATTGTGGAGAAACCACATAATGTTCGTCCAAGTCCAACCATGCCAAATAGTGCATTCTGATCTCTTCTGTCCTCTTCTCTGGAGGTCGCAAGGCTACAGCGAAGTGTTTGGGTGCAAAGGCGACTATTTGACATAGTATCACGCACTCGATGCAGCATTTTCGACTTCCCGCAGTCTGCTTGGTTGGTAGTATTGCATCTGACATGGCTCGCGCCGAGCATGTTATCAGGGATGCTATGCTACTCCAACTTATTACAACCTTAACCAAACACTGAGAGGCTAATATGGAACTGTTTCGTTCAATCAACATCGTTTCAGTAATAAAGCTTTTTCGGACGGAATCTTTTAAGTATTAAGCTCGTATCGGCTGAGAGATCACAGACGGCTATACAGGTAAAATGGCCTGCTCTGTATTCTTTTCGCTTTCCCTTGCAAGTTGTGCCGTGTCTTTGACCCACGCGGGGGTCTTTCAATCCGGGCTGCACACCCATTTCCGTCATAAGGCTCCAATCCCCTGGTTGCGGGAAGTCATATCACCACTTGCCGCGCTTGTAGGGGTGGGCTGTCTCGCTCGCTTCCACTTTCGGCAACATTAGAAATGCGCCATATGCTGTAATGGAACCTGACCTTGGTCAAACGCAATATCGACAAGCGGGAGGACATGCGACGGGGAAGCAGGCTTACAGCTTCCGGAGGAGACGATCTAGGATGGATCCGCACCCTTGGCTTTTGCGGCGAAATTGCAGCGTTTCTGGATAAAGTCGACCCCAGCCCTCAAGGGTACAGGATGCACGAAGCACAAGCAAAACCTACTGGCTAAGGGGAAAGGAGCCATACAGACGTACAGACCGGTGAGTAACTTTCACTTTCTCATCCTATGACGCTCGTTTTTTTCTTAAATGCCTACGCACAGCTTGCATAGCATACAAGCAGAGTGAGTTGTCCAATATGTGTGACCTCAAAGCTAATGCAGGCCTCACATATTGCACGCGATGATGTGTATCATCGACCACCACCTCGACGTCAATGATCAGGACATTTTGGGACAGCAACATCACTTGTGATTGTTATTTCGGGCAGGGAGGAGCGAGTCACAATGAAAGAATGCGTACCTCCGCCTGTTATGCAGACGTGGTTCCTTTGCCAGTGGGTTAGGGAGGTGCACTGTTCCTGACCTGACACGTTGGGACAATCTGGCGGTCAAGGTTATAACCCTAGGCATACCTGCCGAGATAGCTCACCAACTCGCCATTTTATTCTTCGGCGAAAACGAGTTTCTGTGGAAGATCCTAGAACTCAATGGATTCATGCATGTTGACCAGTACACTGCCAACAAAGTGTGGGAAGACTGCAAGCCCAAGGACTCGAGGAAACCGACTGTCCGGACCCCTGAGGTGACTCGGCGGGCGAATACCTTTCAAAACACGAGCCTTGATAAGCATTGGCCGACAGCGGACCTCTCTGAGCCAGTCTTAGATGCGCAGAGGGTAGTCTCAGTGGCAAGTGCTGATAGGGAGCGATGATGTTGGCACATGGCGGCCCATCAAATCATCGTCTGAGTTCTGTGGCGGATCTCCCTTCCCCTCGGACGCGATGGCCGCCTCGATGCAACATTTCCTTGACCGAAGGTAATGCAATGGCCGCAGCCAGAGTGAGGAACGACGGGCAGATCTTCCTCAGTGAGGATGTCAGGAGAGGCGAAATCCTGTAACTGTCTCGGCAGGAGCATCGACTCGCATAGGGGCGAAGGGATCAACAGCCACATGATCTCAAAGCAGCACCATGCTTCCCTATTCTTATTCGACCGTCTACGCCGCTCGAAAGTCTCTTATTGCAGAGTCTGGTCTGCATCAACCTCTCGTTTACCATGACCCTGAGCCGGGCTGTCTTGCTGATCCCACGACACCCTCAACTATTCGCCACCTCTTCTTTTTCCCTCCCGCAAACCCGATAAGGCAAGGCTCGGGCAAGTGATTCCGTTGCGTTGACCATCTCAGGCTCCCTGGCCGCAGGAAGTCCAGCGTCTAGCACGATATCCCTACCACAAACTCACTAGCACCGTCCATGTTCTCTCTACCTTGAGGTACAACCGACAACACCCCGAAGTCCCAAACTATCCTAGCACGAACCTGGCACTTCTCACTCCGCACAAGGTGCTTATAGATGCTTAGTGGCAATGGGATCAGATCTTGTGACAAGGTCGAGGCGCGGTATCTGTGGGGAAATGCCCATCTGCCGTCAAAAGGTCGAGGATCAGCATCGTGGGGTTCTTGAAGGTATGCCATGGGATGGCTTTGACGTCTCAGAGCACGGCGCTTACGGCGTTGGAGGCGGAGAGAAGCATTATATCTTCGCTTTCACGATATACATCCTGTGCTTCAAAGCTATCCGCGGTCGCCGAGCCCCTATAAGCCGACCCCCTCCTCCTTTAAATTGCTTCACGCCTTGCTGATCCCCAATCACGTCAAAAAGAAGCCCACCTGTAAAAGTATGGAAAAGAGATATATCACAAAGAAGAATCTGTCGTGACTGGAGGAATTACCAAATACGCTCACACAAACGTTTCTCTACTAGCCGCTGATGGCGAGAAACATCAAGGGTTGCATTTCGGCAACTCAATCCGTCTACGCAATTACTTATCGGTACTCAAAGGTCCAAAGATACTTGACTATGACTTCAATATACGCATGAAATGGAAAGAGAGCCCTTCAACAAGGCTATATCCGGAGAGTGCAACCATGACATTGTTGACTGTATTCGCTAGAGGCTGGGCGCCACATGACACATTGAAGGCTTGTTGTGCTTGTTGTGCTCTGTTCTAGAATAGATTAAGAGGTAACCTCAGATTCAGGAATAAATTGAGGGTAAGATATTATCACTGCTAAAGATCTTGGCCAGGCGGACCTTAAGCATGTCTTTTCTAGAACATCGTACGCTTCGATGAAGCAATGGCCGCCTCATGGCTAGGATAGAACAATTCTTACAGGGAAATGCAGTCAAAACTGATCCATTCAATGATGAGACTTTTGTGTCTGTAATGGGGTAATTATGGCATAACAAGTGGACAAAGATGTTTGTCTTGGATGTTAACAGTGAGGGGACATGATTGAATTGGCATTAGATAGAGTCTCCACATCATTTACATGACGGTCTTAACACTACCAGCTCGACTCCTGCACAATCAATTTGCTACCGGATATGCCGCAAGCTCATCGGCGTCAAGAAGATTTGATAATAGTACAGAACACTTAATTTACCTTCCAAACTTTGTGGCAGTGTGCAAGTTGACAACCCTACCTCCTACCTCACATGGCCACAGGCAGAAGGGTTCTGACTGGTTGGAAAGGCTGACAGAAGCGCTGTGGCATTTCGATAGTGGCTCGGAGGGGGGCCAGGATCTGGGAGCCTACTTGGGCAGGTAAATACGCTTGCTCTTGGAGCAATACATAGTAAGCCCCTCTGCAAGCCAATGCTGCGTCAGGAATCCATGGGATCGGGCAAAGCCGCGCGAATCTACCTTGCCGAGCTTGCCATTTCACCGAAGGCAAACCTGAAACCCACTTGACTAGGTCGCCAGCCAGCCAGCTTATCTGCCCTGTAAAGGATCCATGACGGATGTCTTATGTACATGTACAGTAGATAAGGACAATCAGCTCGATAACGGCGGTCGTGAGACAGTGAAATGCGGAGGACCATTGTTTGTTGTCGTTGTTGTTGTGCCTGCCCGGTGGCTGCTGAGCGGCGCACCTTCGCAGAGTGTTGGGTGTCGACAGTCTCCTTTCTCCTGTCGATCACTGAGAGCCAGCAGCACTAACGACGTCAACACGTCCGCCTGCCTGTCTGGCGGGTTGTAACGTAGATTAGGCCGTCGATCTGGGGAAGTGAAACAGCTTGATTGCGCACATGAATCGTAAACACGAAACAGGCTGGCGATACGGCTTTGCCCTCAATTAGACAACGGCAGAGAGCGTGCCGGCACGCCTGCACCGCCCACTTCCTGTCCTCTACTGCACTATGGTAAGAGGCCGTCATCGAGTCTCTTTATTCACTCAGCCATCTTGGCCAAGGCATTGGCGTACTAATAAGCCTGCGTCGCCCAAGCATCACATAGTAGTTGGATCAGGAGACGATAAGTGAGAGAGTGCCCAGGGCTGCTGCCGTTATCCGCGATCGACACCACGGGCGCGATAGGCCCGGCCTAACTACTATGTAGCACCTTGCAAGCCCACCGAGTGATGGGGCCGGGCATAGTCTAGGCCCACGCGTTCCCTGTGAATTGTCTGGCCGAATCCACCGCCCAAGCGAGCCTAGGTCGAATATCCCTCCAATAGATCACCACCACCACCCCTCTTCCCCCTCCCAAGGCCATCTCTCCCACGCGCTGTAATTGGCCGGTGCTCTCTGTGGAAGGGCCATGAGGCTGAATCCCCCCTCCTAGGCGACACTCGGCGCTGGCCTTCCCGCTGCGTGTGTGCTCTATGCTGTGTGCTGTGTGCTAAGTGTGTGTGGCCCTAGGCGAGTTACGCGGTGGGACGGGCCAGCGGGCGGGCGCCGGGGGGGGCGGTCACTCAGCTTGAGACCACCAACAAACAAACACCACGAACCTCCGCAACATCCGTGCGGGCATCCCTGTAAGCCTTTCACGGCAACTTCATGACATTCAGCCGTTTTTCCAATTCCCTCATGGCCGTCGTTGCTCGGTCGCAATTGAGTAGGTGAAGGAACTGCCAGTGTCTGCGCGTGCATGCAAGCCAGCATCGTCCTTCCCTCTGTGCACTGCCTCGTCAGACTTGCGTAGTCCCTCACCGATGCTGCTGTTCTGGTGATCCTTCGGATCAGGCCCGTTTGTGACCGCCTGGTGCGCACCACGCCGGCTGCTTGATCCGCGCTATTCGAGGGCATCAATCTCACCTTCGCCCGGGCAATCCGCGAGCATGGCGACGGTTCAGCGGCCATCGGCGGCACACCACCATAACAAGATCACCACCGCCCGGAACAAGGTGGTCAAGCCAATCCTCAAGAAACTCTCCCACTCAGAGAAGAACTCTCTGGATCTGGACCGCGGCTGGGAAGACCAGCAGACGGGCCATGGCTTTGGAAGCCTCTACGAGTCCGGTAGCGCCGGCCGCTCCGCGCGAGATGTCAGTTTCAAGTTTCCAGCCTTCAGCGAAGGCAGCGGAGGGGCAGGAGGAGGAGGAGGAGGAGGAGGGGCAGTAGGTGGTGGTGGAGGCATCGGCATCGGAGGAGGGGGAATTGCAGCATCGTCAACAACGTCTGCGGGAGCCACGGCGGGAGCGGGGCGGGGCAGCACCAGCAGCGACAACAGACGCAAGCTTCACCATGGTCGTTCCATGAGTGGTACCTCTGGCATCTCCGTTGCCTCCAACGGCAGCGGCCACCGAGGAGGCTCGTCCTTCGTGCACCCCTTCCAGCAGACCCCGCGCACCTCCACCCCGCCGCTGTCGTATGCCAACTCGCTGGCCTCGTTCGACAACAATCGCGACTACTCGCCCACCATCACCGAACACGACGACGACGACCTTGACTCACTGTCCCATCACATCCACCACCCCCACGGCGGCACCCACCCCTCCTCCAAGTCCCAGTCCAGCCTGCGACGGCCCTCTCTCGCCAGCCAGCGCACCTCTTCGCTATCCGATATCACCACTGCTGCTCCCCAGCTCCGAGTCAATACGCAAAGACCTACGCAGGCGCCGACCCCTTCATCTCGTCTCTTGCACGGCGGCGTTCTTGGCACCTCATATTCGCACTCCGACCTACATCTCAACCTCACATCCTTCGACTCCCCATCCTCCCTTACGGGGACTGGCATAGTCGCATCTCCTTCCTCCTCCGCGGCTCCCATGTCGCCCCTGCGTTCGTCTCTCGATGGCATGGGCTTCCGGCTGCGTAGTCGCTCCGAGGTCGACACCGTGGCGCGCAGGGACGACATCCGCGAGGCGCGGCGCAAATTCGAGGAGCGTGAGAAGATCAAGGAGGAGAAGTATGACCGCGAGCAGATCCGCAAGCAGGAGCGCCGCGAGAACCGCCAGGCCGCGGCCCAGTTGCGCAAGCACCATGCGGCTAGCGACCCCGTGCGGCCCACAGCCAGCCGCAAGAACAGCCCATCGACAATCACCACCACCTTGAGTGGCACCCAGATTATCGGGGGAGGCGCGCCGCGCAAGAGCGAGTCTGGCAGCGTTCGCCCGTCCGGACACCGCAAGTCGAGCGCCACGCCCGACGAGAAGGGCCTCGGCTTTGCTAGCAGCAACTATGACGCCGTTCCTGGAGGCGCCACGCCCAGCTTTGGACCCAACGTCGATGATGTCCACTTCCAGACGCCAAAGAGACGGAGCACGGCGAAGAAGAGAACCCAGAGTTACTGGACTGGGTTCATCCTCTGGCTGCGGACTCGTCTTTTACGCATGGGAAGGAAGTGACCTTTTGAAGTCATCAATGGAGGATTAGCAAGATCTTCAAAATGCTTATTGTTGGTGCAATTGCAACCATAACTATGCCCGGCCCTAACCACCCATATCACATATACAAGGTCTGTAGGACCGTTGTAAAGATGCTGCTACTCTTCCGCAACCAAGGGGTTGTTGGTATGAACTACATGCACCTCAGTCTCGGCACCCCACCGAGCAATCACGATTATACGTTACGACCGCATCACATACACATACACATACACATACACCTTTCATCATCTTCATGCTTACGACTCTCATACGGACGGCAGCAGATCAGAGCTTTTTTCCCCCTTCAACACGGCGTCTTGGACAACAGTTTCTGGATTTTGGATGCGGCCTGAGCATCGTGCCTTCGAGCACATTTGGCATTTCTTCTGGAAACACATGCGCAGTGTGGCGCCGGCGGTTTTTTCAGATGGCATCTGACATGACATGACAGGGTACGGGGTTTTCCTGGTTAAGTGAGCGAGGCAAACTGCTTTTTTGACGCAGACCTATTTGGTACCCGGTTCTTGGCCTGGTTTGGTTTGGTTTTGTCGGGAAGCCTCCGAGGCAAGCCCTCTTTGATTTGAGCCTGGTTGGATGTGTTTGCAACGGCCGTACGCAGATATGCGATGCTTCGAGCGTGCTTGCACACAGCTGCTCCTGGGTTTAAAGCCCCATCGAGGCACAGGATAGGATAGCACAATGGAGGCTTATCTTGATATTTGTTTAAATCGCCTATGGTGTCAATGCCGTGATCCCTGTCTGTTGCACCGCGCCCAGCCGTTTTCGCACATATTGGCCCCCGACAAAGAACAAGGGCAACCCTGCGCAATGAATTGGTCTTACTCATCTGAAATCCTTAGAAAAGGTCGAGGAGATACAAGCAGGGGTGACGAGAAGAAATACATGGAGGAAGCTGGGGTTATTGAGAATCCAGGCCTGCCAGGTAACGGAAGTCGAGAAGTCATACCTAGGTAGCTTCTTATATCACGGGAGTGCTTCCGAGTTAGCGGCGGTATTTGTTGCGGCGATTCACAGCACGATTGCTACATCATACCATGCCTCGTACATAGAGTCCAATGAGAACTTATATACGAGATGACTCCTGAAGAGATACGCTTCCCCTATCCTCTATCGCTGAGTTTGAGCGAAAAAGAGTGGTATTACTTAGATGGGCAATAGCTGCGCATCGTGACACCCAAGCCGTATGCCTCGCCCAATGGGGAACCCAGTCACTCGCAGCAGCGCAGCATCGTAGGGCTGGCCTAAAATTACAGATACGGACCGTGGGCATTGATCAGCTCTTAATCCGGTGTAGATGCGGAATCGTCATAGGCTATCAATAGATTGTCGGGTTAGCCTTTTAAAGTATGAAGTGCCCGCCCGTTTGTGTTGCCCATCCCGGCGGCCTGGAAACGCCCCGTCTCCGCTCTTCAATCTCGGACTTTCAAATGGCTTGGTGACATTGACCTCGTAGGTCACACCTCAATCATAATTCTATCTCGGCCTCGTCCTTTGTAATAGCACTCGAGGTCATTCTCGGCCACAAGCACCAAACAGTCTTGAATATTTGTTCTTAGGCTGCGCATTACGCACTGTACCATCTGGCCGCTAGCTAGAGCTGAACTGCTATCGACGAGCCGAGGCATTGTCAAGCTCGAGCTGATAGCTCTGTCGACAGCTGAAACCAGCATCAACATGGCGCCGAATCGCCGTTACGCCAATTATCCTGGAGCCAAGGAGTCGAAAAACGTCGCTTATATCGTCGAGGATGACAAGAACCCAGTGATTAGGGGTTTGCCGGTGGTGATAGTGTCAACGATGTAAGATTATGGCGCGGAGGTCTTCGAGTGAGTGTGCTTGGCTAACTCGCGTCACCTCTCTTCAGCGTCGCCAAAGTGCCCGCCCTGCAGCGCTACCTCTATGCAAATGCCGGCTTCGGCAAGGTGAAAGACATTCCTGGTTTGAATGACGAACTCTGGCGCTTTCAGGTATTGGAATAGCTTTCGTCTTGAGATCCTACTCGACACTAACAGGTGCGCAATAGCCCACTGTTATCCCACTCGCAGACTCGAGTGACCCGCCTGCAAAGCTGGAAATTGGGCCGGAGCTGTATCGCTCGCAACCAGAGCAGTGGTCTGGCAGATACTACTCCGTCGCCGACTATCATGAGGCGTACAAGTCCGGCAAAGTAACGCCTCTTCAGGTCGTCGAGGCGCTGCTGCCACTGATCAACCGAGAGCACAAGCCATCAAGCGAGTACTCCATAGCATGGCTTGAGGTTCATATCGACGAGGTGCTCGCCGCAGCGACAGCTTCAACCGAAAGATATGCCGCTGGAAAGCCCCTCGGCATTCTGGATGGTGTGCCTGTCGGCGTCAAGTGCGACATCGACATGAAGGGCTACGTGACCAGCCTCGCCATGAAAATCAACACGGCGTGGCCGTACTTCCAGACACCAGCCACCCAAACCGTGTGGCCAGTAGAGAAGCTCCAGGAGGTCGGTGCCATTGTCGTCGGCCAGAACAACATGCACGAGGTGGGAATGGACACCACCGGCTGCAACCCCACGACAGGAACGCCAGTCAACTGGTTCAACAAGTCGTACTATCCTGGAGGCTCGTCCTCGGGGGCAGGATCGGCACTCGGCGCCGGTCTGGTTCCTGTAACTGTCGGGACGGATGCTGGCGGGAGCACGCGCGTGCCGCCATGTTATGCTGGGTGCTACTCGTTCAAGACGTCTCAGAACAGGACATGTACTAAGAAGTGAGTGGCTTTATTCTTCTAACAATTGGGGAATCCGGAATCATATGTAGGGTGACAAGCCATAGGCCACTTTTGGGTGCTTATGGCTTAGCGTTGCACCGCTTGGCATTCCCGTTCCTCACGAGAACATTGGATGCTGACATCAGATGCCTATAGCACAACGATGACCGTGATCAGCCCGATGTGCAGCACAGTGGCTGATCTCACGATAGCATATCGTCTTATGGCCCAGCCGAACCCCGACGACCCTATACAAGGCCTCTTTGCCCCATCTGTTGCCCCTGACCCGTCGGCCAAGAAGTATATCGGTCTGTGCCACGAGTGGATTGCTCGTTCAAGCCCTGTCGTGCTGGAGGTCTTCAATAAGGCCATCGACTACTATACAACGAAGTTGGGATACGAAGTCGTTGATATTCACATTCCATACCTGCGCGAGGGCCAGCTCGCCCATGGCGCCATCTGCCTCACTGAGGGCGCTGATGAAGCTCGGTCTCGAGTACCGCCTGGTACCAATTTCCTCGACCAGGTGAACTACCCGAACAAGGTAATGTTTGGCGTTGGCTCGCAGGCTTCGGCAGGCGACTATCTGAAGTTTGGTCAGATCAGGCAGACGATAATGCAGCATATCGCGTTTCTCTACGAGAAATACCCAGGTCTGCTCATCGTCACGCCGACGATGCCGCTGCCAGGGTGGAAGATCGATCCGGGTGACCTGAAGTACGGATTCAGCGACGGGAACCGGTCACTCCTGAACATGTTATATGTATGGCTGTCCAACATGACTGGCTGTCCCTCTCTTACGGCCCCGATTGGGTATGTTGATCCCGAGCAGGGCGAGGGTAAGCTGCCTATTGGTATACTGGCAATGGGCGAATGGAACGCTGAAGAACAGTTACTGGTTTGGGCCGGTGAGGCTGAGAAGTATCTCAACGAGGTGTATCCAGGCGGTAGGCTCAAGCCCAAAGGGTGGGTGGATGTTTTGGGGCTGGCTCAGGGGCAGAATGGCATGGCAAAGGCCAGTAACGGGATATCAAGCTGAAGCAACCCAGAAGAGCATGTTGTTGATATATTTTAACAGTGGCGTTGGACAAAAGGTCACCTAAATCAATATGCCACTCAAACAGCTGGATAGTATATGAAGCTGTATTACTGTATTCGATCTCACATTATCACGCACAATCAGCCCTTGTTGGCGAGACAGCAGCACGACGAGACTTGCGAATCATTTTGGCCTTGATATGGCGATATCTAATGCTTAGCATGCTGTAACACGCTCGAGGGCTTGTTAATCATCAAGCCCACTCCACTCTGTCTCAGCCGCTCCATCTCCAGCACCTTGATCTTGTGTTTTTCTCCGCTTGCTCCCCTGAATAGCACCTCGCTTGTTATTCTCTTTTCGTCTCTCCCAAGCACTCTTTGACGTGATCTTTGCTTTGGCGCCAGACCGCCTAGCTTCAACACCGTGGGTCTTCAGCCGCTTCTTGTCTTCCTTCTTCACATTAGGAAGGGCATCCAACAACCACTGCTGGACATCTGCCTCATTGCTCGCTTTCCCAGCTTGCTTCTCGCTAAGCGCAATAACGTTGGCAACGCTCTTGACGAACGGTATATCTTCCTTCGTGTAGAATGTGACGGCAACACCACCCTCGCGGCCCGCTCGACCAGTCCTGCCCGCGCGATGGACATACGCGGCAGCTGAGCCGGGGACATCGTAATTGACAATTCCGTTGACACCTGCGAAATCGACTCCTCGTGCCAGCACATCGGTGGTGACGAGGACCCAGATCTCGCCGGCCCTGAACCGTCGCATGATATCTGATCGAATTGAGTCTGCTAGGGAAGAATGGAGCACCGCAATTCTGGACGGACCGCCAGCCTCTAATGGGATGTCGTATTTGAGCTCCTCATGAAGGGCTGTAGCTCGTTCGATCGTCTGTGTAAAGACCAGGAAAGGCGGCCGTAACGGTGGACCAGAGTCGGCGCCAGATACAGGATGAAGCAGCTGGCGGAGAGCAAGCAGTTTGCCTGGCTCCGTAGCCGTATATATGAGTTTATGGGTGATGTTAGGCACAGCAGTATCCTTCAGGCCGACAACAAGTCTAACCAGTGGTTTAACCGATAGACCTCGCGACATCGCATGTGAGCTTAGTTGATCCGAAATCAACGTTTCAATATTAGAGCCTATCGTTGCTGACCAAAATGTGAGACGAAGGTCTGAGTTTGTGCAAGCTGACCAGATACCGAGGGTTTGGTCTCTGAAGAGTGGATCAAGTAGGACATCAGCTTCATCCAGAATCAAGGACTGCACGGTAGGGAGGTTCTTCTTCGATGAGCCGCGCTTCAGAAAATTGAGCAGTAACATCGGTGTTGTAACAAGAACATCAGCTTTGGTGACAGGCTTAGAGGAATCGTCTCCTCCTTCCGCTCCCGAGTCGTCGTCTGAATCGTCATCAGAGACCTCATCGTCACTTCCTTGAGCGCCATCAGGAGTCTCAGCCGCGACCCTCATCCCTTTTTTCATAGCAACGACCCTGACTCCCGTACCGACGGTGAGCTTCCGCCCCTCGTTGACAATTTGGTTCGCAAGTTCTCTGGTGGGGGCGATGACAATTGCCTCCAGCTGGTGCTCTTTCCGAGACTTGTCCTGAGCTTTCCGGCGCATTACACCATTGATGGCCGGTATGAGGAAACTGAGCGTCTTTCCACTTCCAGTAGGCGCAACCGCCATGAAATCGACACCTTCTCCCCATGTATTATCTCCATCAAGACTAGGTAGAGCAACTTCAGGGCGAAGGAGTAGCGGCAGGCTCGCAAGTTGAACTTCGGTTGGTATTTTGTAGCTCTGGGCGTCCAGATTATCGGCAAGTCGAGAAGAGACGTCGTACGTAGAGCGAAGCTCGCTGAACGACTTCAGTGGTTGAGGAAACAGTTGCTTCTTCTCCTCCGTCGGCTCGACTTTTAGTGCCTTTTTCTTCTTACTCTTCTTCACCTTTGTCTTTTTTTCTTGCCGAGAAGAGAGCAAAGTAAACTTGAGTCGATGAGATCGTAGCAATTGCCGACATTCGTCTTCGTCAAGCAATTTTGGTCTTTGTCCCGGTTTGTTCGGTGGCTCCTCCGTGGGCTTTTTCTGGTGGTGTTTGCGCTCGCCTTTAACCTCGGTCTTGGGGGCGAAGAAGTCAAGGTCGCTCAGTTCCTCCTCAGTTTCTTCCTTCGTCACTTCCGTGGTCCGTTTGCGCTTCAGGTTCTTGGATCCGACTTCATCGTGGAAGAGTTGGGGATTTGTTCGGGTACCAGCGGAGGGAAGCTTGCTGGCGGACTGTGTCGAGGCTCCCTCTTTTCTCGGGGCCTGTTTGATGCCTCGCGAGAGGACTCTTAGGATATCCATACCGAGTGTTCTAAGCGTGGGGCATCTCGAGGACTGAGCTGGGGTTACGCATCTTGATTGTTCCTGAAATGGCGGTGCTAAGAAGTCTTCAAAAATTCGACTTCAAGCAGTTCTGAAAAATTAAAGTGGAGAACGGATGGTGGGGCAGGCGAGATCCCGCACCTAAACCTTCCCTTACCTAGTGGAGCTCTCCAAACTTACAATTTAGGCATGGGGGGAATGGTGACACTCAAAAAGTGAAGAGAGACATAACACCAAAAAGAAAAATACACGCCCAGAGATTTTTGGCCAGTTCGAATTGACTGATAGCCTGTACGATAGGACCCTGGAGGAGAAGCGGGGCAGTGCGTGTCGTGGGGGTGATACCATGCAGGTGTTCCACTTTGACAGGCGGACTGACACTCCTTGTTGGTCTTCGACTGCATGGCCAACTCCTGGGCATAGACCAGGGATTGGTCAGATATTCAAAAACCATGACTTACGTATCGCCAATTGCGGGCTGATGAGGTGCTCCATCTGCACTCATTCTGCAACAACGGTCACCGGAACATGTTCCTGTGGGCCCGACATGCAAGAAGTCTGAGTAGGGTGATAACGCCGGTCTTCAACATGACCCGAGGGGGCCGCAACGTGCGGCTACCAAAAGTGAAATAGTCTCAGTAAAGAGCGTTAAAGCGCGCCCTCTTAATACGCAAACCCCGGCCATCCTACCTTCAATTCACACTACCAATCTAGTTAAACGATCCAGCAACATGGCCGAGGAACCCGAGCAACAGGGCCAAAGTCCTCAAATTCCTACACAATTACAGGGTGTTCTAGACGAGAATCCTCTGCAAGTCGATGTCTGTATACACGAAAATCTACTTAAGGCAAAGACATTTAGTTGACCTTCAATTCAGGACGTGATAGACGATAATAATTCAGTCTATAATGATTCAGCCTATAATGACTCGTAAGTATTCCGATGTGCGACATTAGCTGATGGATGTCTGACAAGTTATCAGGATAGGGGAAAATAGCCGGGTCACATCTCTGAAATCGAGTATTGTCAACTACAAGTGAGTTCGCATGTCGTCAACTGGTCGTGATAGTCTGGACTCTTTCTGACCCGCCTTCGTGCGAGTGATTTAGATATGAAGTTAGTTGTCTGACCAGAAAACGTTTTAATACATACTAATAAGTGGCACAGAATGGACGCCGCTATCATGCATTCCGCGAGGGATCATACTTGATGGTAAAGATCCAAAAGCTTTCCGAATATAGACAGAAACTGATTGTACCTAGCCAAACGATGAAGAAGAGCAAGGCCGAATGGATTTGATACATCACATATATCGGCTAGTAGTAGGAGGAAAGCTATATCTTGCTCCGATTCGCGACAACCCACGTCGGGTGTTGGACCTCGGCACCGGAACTGGTATCTGGGCAATGGACTTTGCAGAGTATTCATTCAAAACTTACTGCTGTAACTTATATCTGTCACGAACCGTGCTGATAGTTATGACAACAGTGACCACCCGACTGCTGAGGTACTCGGAATTGACCTAAGTCCCATTCAACCCCAATGGTTTGAGGATATTCCGTCTCTAATACTGTGATTATTATTAATTATTTCTATAGGACTCCACCAAATTGCATATTTGAAGTTGACGACTTCGAATCAGAATGGTTATATAGTACACCGTTCGACTTCGTCCATGCTAGAGAATTGGAGGGATGTATATCTAACGAAGATCGACTCTTTGAGCAAGTTCTAGAGCACTTAAACCCTGGAGGATATTTTGAGTTGCAAGCTATTTACACACGATTTGTGTCGGATGATGATACAGCTGAGAAGGCTCCTAATACTCACCGTTGGATGGCAACTCTAGTTGAGGGCATGGCGAAGTTTGGCAAACCAATAGATCATGCACCCCAGTGGAAACAAAAAATGGAAGATGCAGGTTTCGTTGATGTAGAAGAACGGGTTCTCAAGGTGAGTCCTTATTCACTGAGTCATTAGAACTGTCCCTGGAACCTGGGCAGTGATAACAAATATAGATACCAATTGGGTCCTGGCCAAAGGACCCAAAGCTTAAGGAGCTTGGAAGCGTCCAATTTTTCCAAGAGCTTCAAGCGGTAGACTCATACACTCCGGCAGTATTTTCGCGAATCCTCGGCTGGACTGAAGCTGAAATACAAGTGTTCACCGCCAAAGTCAAAGCAGAACTCAAGGACCCATCAATACATCTCTACTTCCCGACTTATTATGTTTGGGGGAAAAAACCTAGCGATTGAGGCTTGTAGCCAGGGACTGCATTGATTTCAATAGCTTTGAATTTACAGTATTGCCGTTTTCTTCCAGAGTTCCCCGAGTCGTCGCAGAGACAGCGTCGAAACACATGGCTTCGAGTTGCTCACCAGCTACTTACTACTGGCTCGGCTAAGAACAGCGACAGCTCACCTCTATAGGTAGAGAAATCCATGAGTATAATCAAATTTTGTCTCAGAGTAATCTATTGTGGATTTGGTGTTTCTTCACTCGTATTTGCGACCGAACAAGCTACAAGAGACAGCGCATCCATTTGAATTTGATTCTAAAGAATTACTTTTCTAATCACAATACTCTAAAGAGAAACCTCGTGTGATGGATATCTGCTAGCATGCAGCGCTCACCATCTTTAGAACACCACACCTGGCAGAGATGTGAAGGCTGACCAAGCGAGCACAAAATCTTGATCCTTCTTGGCGAGGATTTTTTGGGCATGCACACTGACTTTCAGACCGCCTTTGGGTATGTAGCCTAGAATAATTTGTTCTACGTTGTTCTGCTCGTCAGGTTCGGTTAACGATCTGCTGTTGCCTGGAATAACCTCGTCCGTGATCATATCAGTCACGAAAAGATTGAGATTATTCTGAATTTGCTTATTGCCAATGTCGTTGTATACCAATGTGATTTTGAAGTGGGAGTGGGACTCGGCGCTGTCTGGGGCCGAGAGGATAAAGTCGTAAGTCTCGTCCTGTTTGAGTGCATCGCCGATCAGACTACCCCCGGATATTGGAAGGGGTATATCAGGTGTGGTTTCCTTGCTCTGCGCCGGAGGTCGGACTATCATTGTGGTCGAGGCTTCGAGGTTGACTCGACCGTGTCCTTGGGCATTTACATCCAGCTTAGGTAGTTTTTCTGCACCATTGATGATAAGCGCCTTTAGAAGCGCACCCGGCGGATTCAGGCAGCCTCGCTCCTGCAAGACTTCTCGAAGTATTGCCGCACACCCTGCAACTAGAGGAGTTGCCTGGCTCGTTCCCGACCAGGGCCTCCATTTGACACCAGGAACATCCTCTGATGTCGCTGTGTCACCGTAGAACTTAGGAACTCCTCCAGATAATGGAGCGTAGATGTCTATACCAGGGGCCACAACATCAGGTTTGAGGCGTCCTTCCTTAGTTGGTCCAAGACTGCTCTGGTTGAACATTTGATCAGGTGAGTTCCGGTTGCCTGTAGCTCCGATAGTGAGCACGTTCTTGGATCCTGCATCAAGACCAATTGCCGGCCGTCCATGACCTTTGAGATTATCATTTCCAGCAGAAAAGCAGATGAGCACTTCGGGGGTTTCACGTATGAAGTCGTCGATGAGCTTGGATGATCCTCCGTACTCAGGCTGCTTGAGGTCTTGGGTGAGTCCCCTGCCCCAAGAATTTGACAGAATGCGAGAACCTTGGTCGTACGGAACAGCAAGTATGTCCCGCAGATCTATTGGTAATACAATTGGATAATTTATATCTTTGAATAGGGATTGAACAATCAGACGGGCCTCCGGAGCAATGCCGCCGATGAGACCTTTAGTCGTATTGAAGTGACTTCCTAGAAGGATTCCACTGACATGCGTTCCATGGCCATGAGGATCGTCGGTCTTCTGCTGTTCGGAGAGCTTGGGATCTCCCTTACGAATCACAGATCGGAGCGAATGAACCTTGCCGATGAAAGCTGGGTGGCATTCATCTTGACTTCCGCGGTCAAAGCCAGTGTCCGTGACGGTGATGATTTGTCCTTTCCCTCCGTAAAGTGCCTTGTTCGTTACACTAGATTCCTGGACCCCGGAGCCCGTGATGGGACTCTCAAAAGACATCAATACCGGTTCTAAGACCTCCTCGATTATACGAATCTTGGGATCCTTTGCAATGTCCGCAAGTTTGTCAGGTTCCACAGACAGCCGTACTTGGCCAGGAGCAAATTCCATTTTGTTCACTGGAACTCCTGATGCTTCCGCAACGACTAGTTTCAGTGCTTCAAACTCCTCGTCTTTGACGGTTTCATGAGTGAATATGTCGACAGTTAACTGGGTTTGGTCATGCAACACACTGGCTGTATTTGCAGTGGCAATTGTGGTGTTTGCTATCTCCAGAGACGCTGCCTCGAGTGTTGCAGGAATCTTGACCTTGTTGCGGTAGACATCAACTTGTCTCACAAAGTCTAACTTGCGAAGAACCGTGAGGTCGCTTAGGCAGTACTCGCAGAGAAAGTTGTTTTTCCCGAGGTCCTCGAGTATATTGACAGAAAGCTTCTCCAGCTCCTCCTCCTGTGGGATACTGAGCACATTGTAAACAGTAATCACAATGAAATCAGTATACTTGGCGTCTTTAGCGTAGGTCTCGCGAGGATCCTGGACTTGTCCATTGAGTTTGACAAGGACAGCATCGGGAGGAGGTTCGGTGGACATTTTGACCTAATACGAGATGGTAGTTTGACGAGCGGTGCTAATTAATGTGCCATGTAAGGCAGGTAAAAACGGGAGAGTCAAGGAAGGAAGATATTGACGGATCGGACGTTTCCTCAAGCCGGATTGAGAGCATATCTGTTGGGGTCGACTTCGTAACAGGATAATTCGTGTGAGACTTTCGATCGATCGCAGGTCCTGAGATGGCAAGACGAAAAGTACGGCCCTCGTTTGATACTGCGATGGTCTAGAACAAGCCGATATTCTGTTGGGGAAGTGGCTGTCTGCGACTGGTTAGCACCGTAGTGTAGCGTGATCGAACATCATCAGACCGCTCTAGCACAGCCCCTTGATCGTACGTGTTGCTCCAATCCAATCACTGGGCCATGTATATGTTTCTATCGCATGTGACATAACGTCAATGCTCAATTGAGGGCGATAGAAATCATGGACTTCGCGAGATGTTTCAGTTCAGCTAACCTCAACCGGAGAATCTTTGCTGAATGCGTTTTCAGCTGCAAAACTTGTGAACTACCGAATGTGGCGCCAATTCGCGACTACGTCAGGCCCCATCTCTAGAGGCCCGGAGCCGGTGCTCAGTCCGGAACGGGACGATCCGGCCCGTAGATCAGCTCGAGACTACCGAGTGTGGCGCTTCTGGCCACGGTAGTGATTCTCACCGCCATGAGACTATGACATATCTGCATACTTGTGAATTTCTGGGCCGATCTTTTCGGGCACTTCGAAGAGTCGAGACATGCTCTGCAAGGTGGAAATCAGCGTCTCTCCTACTCTAATACCGTCTTCATAAACAGCTATATCAAAGGCATTTGCTCCAACTCAAACCTCATGTCCATGCCATCCTTGAAGCAGACCTGGAAATCCTATCAACAATCAATTGAAATCATCACACCTCTCGGTTCACCATGGCCACCGTTGTCCCTGTCACCGTCAATTATGAAATCAACCAGCCCTCTGAGGGCCAATATGAAGTCAATCAAGTTGCCCCAGAGGAGCCTGCGCAGCTAAACAGTGGCAATCGTAAAGAATTTAGCTTCGATGTCAAGATTTTCAGTGTATGTGTCACTACAGTCAAGCCGCGGAGATTGACAGCCTGCTAATTTGATGCTTCCCTAGTGTGTTGGTTATTACGATCCCGACACCAAGACCATCGGAGTATATCCAAAGATTCTTGGTCAGCAAATTGGAGATGGATATGCTGCAGGCCTTGACACGGGTCTGCAGATTCAATTGGCTCTTGCTGTATACAATGGCAGTGTTCGATTCAACAAAGTTGGGAATGAGCTGAAGGTTTACTTGCACCTGAAGCCACTTCTACCTTGGGGTGATAGTATTAACTACGAGGGTACGGTCTTGCACTTGTAATTGGGTCAGCTAGTAGCCCGAAGGACCGCAGGCAGCCAATGATCGTTGGGTCAATAGATCGTGTGGTTATCTGCACAGTTACAAAAGGACTATGGCAAAGAATAGAAAAGCAATAGGTCCACCATTGTGTACCCTTGTGTTCTCTTGCCTTGTCGCTTCCCTTCTCAAATTCTATTTTTTTATTTATCTCTCGCTTACAGCATTGATATCCGTGATGAGATCAAGTTATTGCTATGCCGCCCAGTGAGAGATCAGAGGTGACGGGGTATAGGATTCTCGTAGGGGATAGCCAAGTAGGAGCCATCCATGGAGTGAGACTCATGTGGCGGGGCGTAGAACTGCTAATGCTGAGCGTATGCTGAGGTTATGTTGGGATTAGTATACAACCAAGCAATTTCCTAAGAAAATTACTGGACTCCGTAGATTAATTAATTGTTGCCTTGTGACTCTCTGTTAACTGTTTCATCAGTCTAGCCTCCTTGATAAACATTCACGTACGGTAAGTCGTACCTTGCTTGATTGGTCACGGTGGGGCCGGAAGGTTGACCGGAGGTTACCCAGTCTAGCCAGTCTCTCGAGCCAGTGTAAGGTAGGACCGGGATGTAGACACAACTAAGACAATTTGAGCCCCACAACGTAGTCCCTTTCACGACCTAACGATACTGAAACGTTGAGATACCTTGCTGTGAAGAGTTGATTTGGGATCAATTCGTTGAATTTGGGCATTGGAGCACTCCCGCTGGAGCCAAAGCCCGAAGCAGCCGGAACCGGAGCCGGAGGCTTTGCAAGATTTACACAATTTCTCATGAGAGCTATCAACAACTTTGGTCATTTTCCTAGGACAATAAATAGCTAGAAATATTCAAATTTGACAATGAATCTAGTCGATTCTCCATTAGCATTAACATTTTCCCACACAGTTTTCTTATAAATACAACTCTAGCAAGATTAAGATGGCATCAGAGACCAAAGCATACCTGGCCATTTCAGCGAAGAAAAAAGCACAGCAGCAGGACAGCATTCCCAAAGCCTGGCGAATCCCCGCGGAGAGATACCAAAATGCAGCCAATGTCATGGATGTGCCGCTTACCTGTGGGCTGTTGGATGAGACAGAGACCAAGATCACTTCTGATTACGATGCAACCGCACTCCTCGAAAATCTCAAGGCCGGTGTCTGGTCTGCTGAACAAGTAACTGTAGCGTTTTGCAAAAGGGCGGCTATTGCCCACCAGTTGGTCAGTCTGTAAAGCGCCTTTTTGAAGACGATCGCTAATTCGGAAAGTAATGCAGACAAATTGTCTGACTGAGATATTCTTTGACAATGCTATCGAACGAGCGAAGAGACTTGACCAGGAATACGACCCAAAGTCCTCTCAAAAACCTCTCCCGCCACTATTTGGTCTACCAGTTTCTCTCAAGGATAGTTACCAAGTTGCTGGTTATGATACATCAACTGGGTTGGGTTGCTATGTGGATCAGCCAGCGGAGGAGAACAGCGCGCTAGCTGCTATGCTGATTGACTTGGGTGCGGTGCTTTACTGCAAGACCAATTTGCCCCAGTCGATCATGACTGGCGATAGTGAGAACTTCATCTTCGGAAGAACACTAAACCCTCGAAATAAAGTGCTCACCGCAGGTGGAAGTACTGGAGGCGAAGGTGCCCTTCTCGCCCTCCGGGGCAGCATTCTTGGAGTTGGAACGGATATCGGCGGCAGCATTCGTGTCCCATCGGTATGCAACGGCATATATGGATTCAGGCCAAGCGTAGGTATAATTCCTCATGGTGGCGTACGGGACCTCACCCCACCAGGCACAGATGGCGTCCGGTCGACAGCTGGGCCCATGGCGACCTCTCTCCGGGATTGTGCATTCTTTTTGAAGTCAATTGTTCAAGCAGAACCTTGGAGGTATGACAGCACTTCGATCGCGATCCCATGGCTAGACCTCAAAACCCCATGCAAGCTTCGTGTCGGGGTTGCTCATAATGACGGCGTCTTTACTCCATCACCGCCAATTCGACGCGGTTTGAAGCAGGTTGTCGATCTTCTCGGTTGCAGGGACGAAATTGAGATCATTGATATCAATCTTCCCGACGTGAGACTGCTCTACCAAGACTTTGTCAGCTATATGACACTATCAGGAAGCGATGTGAGGCCAGCAGATCTCCGACTCACTAGGTTTACACTGACCATAGAAGTACTATCACGAGCAGTTTGAGAGAACAGGGGAGCCGATCATTCCATCACTGACGGCAAGTGGCATCCTATCGATGCCAGGGACGACCCTGGATGGCTTTTTCAATTTGAATGTCCGGCGGATTGAAGCCGCGAAAATGTACCTCGAACTGTTTCTCGACAACAATCTGGATGTGATCCTGATGCCTCCAGCACCTCATACGGCAGTTCCCCTGGATTGCTGGTCGAAAGTTGCATATACTTGCTTGTGGAACTATCTCGATTACCCGTCTGTTGTAATCCCTGTTGGTCAAGTGCAAGACACAGATATCGTTGACGATATGAGCAACGCCAAATTCGGTCCAGATGACGAGCAAATTTACAGACTGTGTAGGAACCGCCCTCCTCGCAATTTAAATATAGTAGATCAAGCTGACACATGCTTCCGAAGATACCGGCCCCGAACAGTACAAGTGCGCACCAGTTTGTGTTCAGGTTGTAGGATACAGGCATAGGGATGAAGCCTTTATCAAGGCGGCAGCCGTGCTAGATTCAATCATTAACAAGAGTTAGAGTAGTAATGGAAACCGGATGTGTTCTTCATGCAGAACACCACTAGTTCTATTGGCTACCAAAAGAGATTGTGTTAATAGAGTCCAGCACAGGACATGGCTTATTGATTGAATCAAACCAACGGGCCGTGATATTTAGATCTCGTTCGTGCCAAACTCTCGACAGAAATGTCTTGGTTGCCTTTTGCAGAAATTGAGCATAGTGGTCTACGCAATGATCCACACGCTCGAGCGTCTTGGCGCGCACACTCTCATCCCGAGCTTCAACGGCTGCGACGATGAATGGTAACGTCACAAATCGCACAGGCCGCTTCGTGACTCGTTTTGCCATTTCAAGCTCCATCATGATTTCCCTTGACCATATGTCAGCTTGAGCATCCTCCTGACCAAATGGAAACCGCAACCGGTGGCCCATTAGGAGCGCACCCAAACGGTATAACTTGGCTTGCGCAAGAAGGTGGACGAATTCGGCAGAGTCAAATCGCTCAAGGAGATGATCCAACTGAGAAGGCTGCCAAGGTTCCACAATGCAACGGATGTCATCCAGCTGCTTTTGCAGGCGAACCAGAGTGTCCATGTCAGTTGCATCGAGAAGTGAATTGCTGATCACACAGAGATCATAGTAGTGAGGCAGCAGAGGCAGACAGAGGCCAAGGCGACAGTCAACGACACCTGGATATAGTACCTGAATCCTCACAATAGGCTTCTGTCGATGGACAAAACAGTTCATGGTTTCCAGCACGATCAAAAAGTTTTTCCACTGATCTTCGTATGCATCGGAAACTGTTGTCTCCATGAATGCGGTTGTCGTGCCGAGAGAGTGACGGCAAATGTCTGGAACTCCTACGCCAACAGCTGAAGATATCGAGAAGGCCAGCAAACCTCCCAGAGTTTGGCATAGAACCGCATCCTGAGGAGACAAAACAGGCATCGAGCGTAGCGTGACCATGGCCTTCGATATATAGTAGACGCTGGAAGTCATATCCGTGTCCAATACAGAGCCGGCTTTAAGTTGCTTTGCAATTACGGCACATGCGAGTAAAGCATCCTTGAGAGATGGAAGGGTAGCTTGCGATAGCGCAGAGAACGACCGCTGCTGTCCAACTTGAAAGCTTGGGCATACAACATATTGATCTAAGCTCCCTGGCTGGCTTAGAAGAAAGGCCAACAACTCCTTTTCTTCGGGTTGTGGATTGGGAAGCATGTCCAAGCATGCAATAAAGCTGGTTTGGCATTGCTGCAGCTCTTTGTATTTACTGACTGTCTTTCTGGTCACCAACTGTGTACGATGTGCCCTCCGACCAACCGGCCGCACTGGCCGGACTGTTGAGCATGTCAAATCCAGCCTGTCACATCGCAAACAGTGGGTGGAAGTCGAAGTGCGATCGCACCGTTCTTTGAGCGCGTAGCATCTATCGCATGCAGTTCTCGGGTTTCGTGTCTTAATTGCAGATGCCTCCATATCGCTGGGAAAGGATGGTGTTGAATCTGGATCTACAACTGTTGAGAAACGGACGCAATAATTTCCTTTGAGACGGTGACGGCGCTAATCTCCACCTTGGAGTCACTGATCTAAGCTAGCACTTACCGCCTGAAATGCCAATAGCGCCTATACTTGTACTAGTCATGCTCATTATCTCATCTACTCGCCAGTCCTTAAAAGCCTGAGCGGGGTTGATAGACAAGACGCCGTAGTCTCTAATAGATATTGTCGTTATGTATCGATTTAAGTTTCAAATCAACCATAGATTTATACGAGTGCCTCCAACACTCATCTGATTATGATAGTTATGAAATCCATGAAACTAGCCCATCGTCTTTGATGATGCCGGCCCAGACCCAGTACAACGATAGTTATGGTAGGGGCGAGTTCTGGAAGCTATCCTATAGAAGCCAAGGGAACGGAACCCCAACCCACCGGAGAAATCTAAAGCCATAGAACTTGATATCATGGCCATTTGCTTGGCCAAAACCAAGAAAACATCCAGCCAGTCAGCGAACCTCTACTATTTACCTCATGGGTGCCTGTCGTTTCTCCAATACTCTCCGTAGTGCGATGTTGATCCACAGTCAGGGTCTGTATCTTTCTGTCAAGATCTGTCTTGTCGTGGAGCAAGCCCCTAAGCTCTGAACCTTTGTCAGTCAGACACTGTGGAAACATATCGATTACGACCAGTGGGGACAGTCTTGGGCAGCTCATAAGGCTCCGTTGCCGTCCACTGAGCAGATGCGGGTCTGCGCCATGCTTGATGAA